GGTCATACGCTTTGCAACTGATCTGGGGAATCATCCTCCTCGAAGACGCGAGGCGAGTTGCCGTCCTCACTCACAGCCCGTTTTCTCGTATATGGGATCCTCCACTTCGCGTCCAGTGGTGGAATCATCACCCTTTCATGGGAAGTCGAGGGGCGCCAAATAGCTGTGCACCTGCGCGTAGACGCAGGCTTGGATTCGTACGGTCATTAGCTTGTTACCAGCCGCAGTGGAAGGCAAAACCGCCCACGGAGAGGTTGTGCTTGATGGAATGCACGCTCACCTACACCCATACTCCGATGCAATGGATCAGCTCAGAGAAGTCGAGCGCCTTCAACAACTCATCGTCCGCCTTGCGTGGGTACGCTTCAACTCAGCTCAGCATCACCTGCTGTCTTCATGTGCAACAGGTGTAAAGACACTAAAGGGCGCTTCCATTCTATGCGAACGTGGTGACCGGCCACAGTCCTGCGCACCCATTAGCACAGTGGACTATGTGGAGCCTCATTTCACTTCAAATACTCTTGATCCAGCCCTAGCAGTCCGAACCCTGTCAGACTAGATGTGGGGCGGCAACTCTGAATTCACACGACTTCCCTTCAGTTGTGCTAGTTGCTAATATCGAGGGCGGGAGGAGGGTAAATTCTGTGGTGGCTACTGTCGACATTGCACCGTTTCGTCGCTAGTCAGTGGTTATTGTTAAAGCATGCGAACAGCACAGCAAGGCAGCAGATGCCACCCCCTTACTCTTCCAACAGCACCATGATTACAACCTTCTCCACGCCGCAGCTACAATAGCATTGCGATGGCCTACTTATGCCATCAACCAGACCCCAAAATTTGTCACTTCGAATGTCCTCATTAATGATCGTGTCGACACCTTCAGCTTCCGAAAAGGCACTTGGCACTGCCTACCACCATCCTGGCCCACGAGATGCTCTTTCTCCGTGGAAGCAACTATAGGCATTCGTCTTCCGCGATGGTCTCTACTCTGCCCTCTTGA